TACAGGTGTGAGCCACTGGAGCTTGGCTCCAAAGTTTTTAATGTTTTTGTAGTGAAGAAAGTTTCTAAGAAAAATGCACATAGGTACACAGACTCTCAGAAGGACACATAGCAGGACTGGGTGTGTAGCTCAGTGACAGAGCTCAGGCTTAGCATGCACAAAGCCCCAGACTGGATCCCCAGCACCAAATGAAAACAAGATATATTGAATAAGCCCAGGCTGTTCCCAGATCCTAGATTCAAAATGCCAGGATAAGCTGGGTGTCGGTGGTTCATGCCTGTAATCCTAGCTACTCGGTAGGCTGAGATCGGAAGGATTGTAGTTTGAGGCCAGCCCAGGCAAGTAGTTCAAGAGACCCTATTTCAAAAATATCCAACACAAAAAAAGGCTGGTAGAGTGGCTCCTGGAAGGCAATGGCTGGAATAGCTGTCTGCTGAATGAATAAATGAACGAATACAAAGAACAAAAGAAGCAAACAACTTCTAAAAGGCAGAGTTTTAGAACTTTGCTGGTTGAGCAAGGTTGTATGTTTGGCTCCAGGAAATTAGTTGACTTCAAAAGACCTGCATTTTGGGGAAGCTATCAGATCTGTAGAAGGGAAGCAAGTTAGCCAGAACCACATAGTTTGTGAGTGGGCACTAGAGCCTGGAGGGCGAATTCACAGTCCGGGTTTGAAAAATGAAAATATAGAGCCTTCCCCCATGGGGAAGGGGGAGGGGGCAGACATAAGGAATGCACCAAGTGCAAGGCTTGTGTGTGTTTGAGTGAACCTGGGGACTCAGGCCAGAATACTTTGAAAATGTTTATTGTAATCCCCTCCTGGGACTTCGACCTAGCGGCTGGGCAAGTTGATGCCTAGGGAGCAGAGAAGTTTCTGCCCAACTCCTCCTGTGCCCATCCTTGCGGACCTCTACACTGGTGCTCTGGTTTGAAAATAAAGGATCTTGGGGGCTGCCTGGCCCCTGGGCAATTGGAAGAGGAGCCTCCAAGCCTCTCTCTGCTCTCTCTCTTTTCTTTTTCTTCAGTATTGGGGTTGAGCTCAAAGCCTCATATTTGCTAGGCAGGTAAGCACCTGAGCCATGGCCCCAACTCTTCTGGTCTCCATTAAGTAACAGATGCTCCTCGGTGAGATCTTGATGATCTTCTGCCCACATAGGCAAATGAGGTCCAAAGGGGAGCTGCTAGCCCGAAGGCATGCAAATTCAAAAGCAAGAATCCTGATCTCTAATCAGGCTGTTCTAGAAGCCGGAGCTCAAGGGACACTCAACCTTCTAAGTCAACAGACAGCACTAATAGGCCCAAAAGTGTGATCGGTGAAAAACTCATGCTTTTCCCCATGGCTGCACTTTTCTTTGTGCTGCTGGAGGGAACACTTCATTTTGAGCAGGCCACACTTTCTGGCATTTTGGTTAAGAATGCAGCTTTGGCCAGATGCCAGTAGCTCACACCTGTAATCCTAGCTACTCAGGAGCCAGAGACTAGGAGGAGCAATCACACTTTGAAGCCAGCCAGGGAAAATAATTCTAGAGACCCAATCTCAAAAAACACCATATCTCACACACACACACACACACACACACACACACACACACACACACACACACGCTGGCAGAGTGGCTCAAGTGGTAAGAGCATCTGACTAGCAAGCATGAGGCCCTGAGTTCAAACCCCAGTACTGCCCAAAACCAAAAAATCCCATGCAGTTTTGGCTGGGAGTGGTAGCCACGTCTGTAATCCGAGCACCAGGAGGTACAGGGAGGATCTTAAAAAAAAAAAAAAGCCAAGTCCTGGTGGCTCATGCCTATAATCCCAGCCACTCGGGAGGCAGAGATTAGGGGTATTGCAGTTCGAAGCCAGTCCAAGCAAATAGTTGGTCAGACCCTATCTCGAAAAAACCCATCATAAAAAAAAGGCTGGTGGAGTGGCTCAAGGTGTGGCCTTGAATTCAAACCACAAAAATAAATGAACAAATAAATAAAAAATTTAAAAATACAGTTTTGCAACCAACTGCCTGGGTTCAAGTCTGGCTTCTACTACCTTTTTTTGGGGGGGGGAGGGGTGTAAGTCGGGTTTTAACTCAGGGCTTCACCCTTGCAAATCAGACACTCTACTGCTTGAGCCATGCCTCTAGTCCATTTTGCTTTGGTTATTTTGGAGATGGTGGGGTGGGGGTGGGGTCCTTGCAAACTATTTGCCTGAGCTGGCAGTAGCTAGGATCACCAGCATGAGCCCCGGGAGCCTGATTCCAGAATGCTTTCTCAACATCCCTGTATTTCTGCTTTTTCACTTGTAAAAATGGAACTACTCCACCTAGTGTCAGGGTGGTTGTGAAGAGTGTGTACCCCCACCCAGTGGTTCCCAGCAGCACTAGCACCTCCTCTGCAAGTGGAGCATGTACCCCTCCCTCTCACCCTTGCTCCTCCCACAATGACCCCACCTGGCGAACATTCTTGGATTCCTGGCCCCTTTGGCTCTAACACTGAAATCTTGGGTAAGTGACTCACTCTCTTGGTGGAGACCAGTTAGAGAGCTCATTGTCCCTGGCCACCTGAATCAGGGTTCAGCAGGGATTTGAGCAAACCATGACACCTCAGATGACTCCCACAAAGCTCTCTGCCAGTCCTAAAGTGTACCATACACGCAAGGCAAGGTCTGCAGCCTGCGTTGAGCAGAGGCCTCCACTCTCTAAGGGCTGGCTTTCGCATTCCATTTCTGTCCTGATCTTTGGGAACATGGCTGATCCTCTAACTTATTTGCTAACAATAGAGGGGAAAGTAAAAAAAGTTGGGAGGACTGTGCACTGAAATTGTTAGTACAGAATTTCTACACTTATTTCACAAAGGCTCTTTGCAGGTGACATCTGTGAGCTTTATCACCCTCACCCTCACCTTCTGGACTAGAAGGCAGAACTGGGCAGTAAAAACCCGATGCCACCAGTGGCAACAGGAAGTCATCTGCCTGTCCCTCCCCTCAACCCATCAGTGAATTTAGAAACTGGGTTGAAATTGCAGCAGAGACTCAGGATTTAAATGAAGTGCCTCCCAGCATTTGTGTGATCCTGGGCAAGTAGCTTCTTCTCTTTGCAACACAATGTCCTTATGGCAAAATGGGAATAATACCAGGACAAACCTGTTATTGTGAAGCTTATGTTTGGGAACACCAATGGAGTGACACTGTAGAGTTGGAACACAGCAGGGGACTTGTTTCATTCAACAACAAACATCTAAGGTTTACTGTGTGCCCCACACCCAGGTGGATGTACTAGGGGCTGGAGGCCACACTGATAAATAAGACAAATGTGGTTTTTGCTCCCATGTTACTTACAGGAGAGCAGGGGTAACAGACCCTGACTGAAAGTTGTGGGGTAATGGTTAAAGGCTACCAGGCTGAAATCCCAGCCCTATCATTTACCAACTTGGTGGCCCTGAACAAGTTCAGCCTGCCATGCCTTGATTTCCCCAAAATTCTCACTTATAGGATGGTGAAGATCACACGCAAAATCTATTTCCAGCACCTACTGAGTGTTCGGGCACTACACGTGGGAGCAGTGTGAAGAAAGGGGCTGCAGGCTGTGTAGCAGGCAGAGAACACAAAGAGGATGAGGAGGCCAGAGGCTGAGTGTGCTCACTGAGAGGGATGGGCATGGGGACCAAGCTGCTCCTGAAGGAGGGAGGCCCCAGGAGAGGAAGAGCAGATGCGCTGGGAACTAGGAATGGGCAAGGAGTGAAGGCAGGTGTGAGCACATGAAGGGGACACAATCATGTTTAAAGGAGCTGGGCAGATGTCCCAGTCAAGGGCTTGAAGGACAGACTGCAACAGCTCCATCAGGTTTGCAGCTAGTGTCCACTCCCCCTCTGCACACGTGGAAATATGGAAGGAGTCTTCTTTTTGTTGTTGTTGTTGTTGATGATGTTTTTTGTTGGTACAGGGGTTTTGAACTCAGGGCCTCTCCATTGCTAGGCAAGTTCTCTACCGCTTGACCCACACCCCCAGCTCAAACAGATCTCATTCAGTAATGGGCCCCCAGCCTGAGTACAGAGTGTAGAGTGACTCCTTGCTGACTCTCTTTTTCTAACACGCATCCCACCAGTCTCTATGGCCTGGCTCTCTTCCAGGAGTAGAACATGGGGCAGATTTAGAAGAACTGAAGTTAGACTAGACCTGGGGACACCTACCTTCTCCTCACCCACACACCCACTTTGTGACTCAGTGAGTCAGGTGTGTCTGGGTTTGAACGCTTGGGCAATCATGTCTCCGGAGTGTAGTGAACATTCAATCATAAATGCGGCGATCTAGCCTAGTGCTTGGTTCACAGTATGTTCTCAGAAAATAAACGTCACCTCTTTTCTAGAATCATAGTGATGTTGCACCCTTCTGCATCCTGGAGGCTCCCCCAAAAGGGGGGAAAGCAGAGGAGGAAGTGGAGTTTTTATTTACAACATCAACTGCAAAGGGGAAAACTGTTCGGTCCCCCAACTCAGGGCTTAACGGGGTGGGGAAGTGGGACAGCCCGTCCCGCGGCAATCCTGTGTCCCGTACCCTATCATCGAGGGAGAGGGTTCCGCGGTCAGGGCCGCGCGCCGTGACTCCGCCTGGAGGGCAGAGGGCACCGAGTTCGGCGCACGTGGAAGAGGAGCTGCTTTCCCAGGCTGGGTCAGCCGGCGTCTCCCACTCGACTTACGGACCAGAGCGGACCGCGCAGGCGGTGGAGGTGAGTTCTGCAGCTCGCAGGGAGCACAGCCCTGGCACTGGCCGGTGCGTGGGCAGGACTCACGTAGCTGCCCACGGCCGCGCGGAGGAGCGCGCCCTCCTCCCACGCTCCTCGAACGGGACGCCCCGCCTCCACCTCTCCCGGGTCCCCAGCGCCCAGTCCCACCTTCGCTAGCGCTCGTGGAGCCTCCGGGGCAGCCGGGAGGCGTGGCCCGCGGGCGGCCCGCCCCTTTGATGTGCGCCGGCACTACTGTGATTGGTCGGTCGCTTGTGACGTGCGGGGACTGCGGTGGGCCCCGGTGCTGCAGCAGCCGCAGCGCCAGCCGCGGCTCCGGCTCCGGCTCCGGCTCCCGGGCATTTAAAGGGGACGCGGCGGCGGCCCGGGGAGGAGGATGGAGGGCAGGTGGAAGGGACGGCCCACACGCACGTCATCCACGGTCCCTCGGGACTGGAGGGACTAGTGAGCCGGAGCCCAGAAATCCGGGGGTGGACAAGACATCGCGTCCCCCCTAATTCCCGTAAGCACCCCTTCCTCCAACCTGCGCCCAAATACCTTAGCCAGCTCCTCTCCCCACTCCTTACACTCCAAACTCAGCCAGGACAGACCTTTGCCGCTACCGCTCCCACGTGAGTCCTGGGCTTCGGGAGGTGGGGAGGACTGGGGTCCCAGTGTTGGGGTGGGGGCTCTGTGGAGTTTGAGGGCGCGCCTTCACGCGCCTGGTGTTGGGGTAGTTCCTGGAGCAGAGGAATGAGTCCCCTTCTCATTCCTATTCCAGGAACGTGGTGCCTGGGTGTCCCTCGATCCCTGACCCTGGTGATGCCAGGAAATCTGTGTCCCCTTGCTCCCCGTCACCACAAGTCCTCTCCTCTCTCGGAGCTGCTCATCTCCCCCCCCACCCCGCCGCCCGCATTAGAGCGAAGCGCCCGCCAGCTGGGGGTGTGCCAGAGTGCCTGCTTTCCAGTCACCTCTAAAAATATCTCTACCCCTACCCCACTGGCAGCTGCCACCTTCCTGCCCCTATTCAGTGAGGATCTCTGTTCAGCTTGTCCACACAGGCAGGGAAAAAGCCCAGAGGTGACTCCTAGTCCCAAGATTCCTCACTGGCACCAGGGCACAGATCATTAAGCGTGTCTCTCCCCCACCCCCAGCTAGTCAGGACAGGAGCTCACGGCCTAAGGGAGCCTCCAAGGCAAGAGAGGAAACTAGCTTGTTTTACCAAGAAGCACCAGAGACCCTTGAGCTCTAATCCTCATTCTGATGCTGTGTGACCCCCGTGATGTTAGCTTGACCTCTCTGAGTTTCTATTTCCCTGTTGTAATATGGGGGTTGGTGAACAAGGAAGGTAGTGAAGTTGGAGTTGTTGTCTGGGAGAGGAAGCAAATCCTGCTTAATTGTTGGATCTGATTTCTAATGAATGAATGATATGAGGAGACTTGTTCTTTGGCAGAGAGGGCTTGTCACTGTGACATTTCTTAACCCTTTATCCCCCATTTTCATCCTGCATGTGTCCTGTGGAAAACTCTCCCAAAACTTTCCTGGGGCCTCCACCCACTCAGTAAGAGGATTGTCAAGCTTATTGCCTATGCCAGTGAGGGACCTGTTTCCCTCCACCTCCCACAGAACTCTTCCACGCCCTTCTCACAGATTTAATTTAAAAGCATTTGTGTCAGTCAGGATGGACAGGCAGGAATCTGTGATCCCAGGTGAGACCAGGGAGGGAGGCACTAATTTTAGCTGGGACTAGAGAGAGACTCCCTGCCACCCCTCTCCCTGTTCCAGACTGCAGGAGAAGCTGAGAGATCCTGTTTCCTTCTCTCAGAGGGACTTTTGGTGTCCACAACAGGATTTGATCACTCAAGACAAAGCTCCTGGAGGTGAGTGACTTTTTAGAACAAACATTACAGGAGCTAGAGTCCAGTTGGGGACAGGTCCCTGGACTGCTGTGGCGTAGGGGTGGGGTGTTCCAGTATGGCCTTCTCAGTTTGGGATGCCTTGCTTTTGGCTCTGGAGATGAAAAGAAACAAGGGCAACCACCAAACAATAAGTGTTGAACTAATTTCCCTAAATACTATTATTAGATGAAAATTTAACTGTCTTTTATGATGAGAAATCAGAAGGTTTTTTTTTTTTTTTTGTGTGGTACTGCATCAGCCACTGGCTTGTTGAGTATGTTTGAGACAGGGTCTCAAGAACTACTTGATCAGGGCTGGCTTCAAACTGGGATCCTCTTGAGCTCTGCCTACTGAGTAGTTATGATTACAGGCACAAGCAATCCTCACCTAGTCACCTAGTCCTTTTTTTTTTTTTTTTTGATCTTTTGGTGGTACTGGGATTTGGACTCAGGACCTACACCTTGAACCACTGCACCAGCCCTTTTTGTGTGTGATTGGGTTTTTAGAGATAGGGTCTCATGAACTGTTTGCCCGGGTTGTCTTGGAACCCTGATCCTCCTGCTCTCTGCTTCCTGAGTAGCTAGGATTACAGGTGCGAGCCACCAGCGCCCGGCTCCTGGTCCTTTCCTATGGGATAATAATTGTTCTCAAGCTGGGCAGTGGTCCGTACCTATAATCCCATCACTTGGAAAGCAGAGGCAGGAGGATCATGAGTTTAAGGCCAGCTCAGACTACATAGTGACACCCTCCTCCAAAAAACAAACACAAGTGTGGCACCAGTGGCTTACCCCTGTAATCCTAGATACTCAGGAGGCAGAGATCAGATGTATCTAGGTTCTAAGCCAGCCTGGGGGAAACAGTTCTCAAGACCCATGGCAGAGGGGCTCAAGTAGTAGGAGCACCTGCCTAGAAAGAGCACACGAGGCCCTGAGTTCAAAGCCCAGTGGCACCAAGAAAAAAAGAAGAAAGGAAGGGAGGAAGAAACTTAGTCTCTGTGCAGCTGCTGGTGATCCCTTTATTATCTGCCCCTTGCTTCTCTGCATGCCTGACACGTGCCCGATACTTGTCTGTCTGCATTTGCTTTTCCAATAGGAGTGGCATCTCCAGACCTTTCTCCTTGACTTGCCTGGCCCTGGGGCAACAGGCTATCAGCCTGGATTTTGACTGGGATCAGCCTTCCCACCCCCACCAGCACATACCATTCTCTCGCCCCTATACCTCCCTCTTCTCTCCCACTCTCCCCTCAACTGTGTCTCTTCTCCCAACCTCTTCCCATCCTTTGCTCCCTGCCCCATTGAGCATTCCCTCGCCCCCCGCCCCCGCTCCCAGTTCCTTGATTATTTTTTTACCCCCACCCTGATCAATTTTTTCTTGGCAAAAAAACTAACCCATATCCCATCCCTATGGAAAGCATTTGATGTGTGTCAATCAGGGAGTGAGGAGGCAGGGGGCTTGTTTAGACGGACCTTGAGTCCTGCTCCTGAGATGCCCCAGATTCTGCCCTGGGGACAGTTGCTTCTCCCTGCTGCTCTTGGATGGGCAGGGGAGGGTGTCACCTTGACAAAGTCAGAGGGGGCTTACAGTATCACCCACTGTTACCAGCAGAGGGCAGCAGCCAGCCAGCCCTTGGCTCCTGTCTCCTCAGTAGCTTACCAATTTTATCCCAGTTACCAGGTCTCAACCCAGGGATGGAGGGGACCCCGGGAAGGGGAGTAGGGAGACACTGGAAGCTGTAGGTGGTGTCCTTTGTAATTGCATTAATAGGACCCAAGAGGTCAAACCTGGTCCCCAAACCCACACAGCAAAGTCTAGCAGATTTCAACCTGATTCTCCTGTCCCGTTGGCAGGACCCCTGAAAACACTAGAGAATCCCAGATCAGGACCCAAGGGTCCCAGTTCCCCAGCTGTGGCCAGGTGTTCATGAACCAGGGTGTGCTTTGTGTAAACTTGCGTCAGGCAAGTGATTTAATCTCTTTAGGCCATTCTACAGATGTTATGGGACTGATGAGCTGTGAGAATACCAGTAAAGGTAACTGATAAACTATGATATAGCCTACAGGTGTAGGGGCAATGACTAACTGGAGAAAAAAAAGCCCTGACCTTGGCCTCTGGGATCTGGTTTGAGATGTCTCTACCACTCAGTGAGTGACTTTGGACAAGTCTGGGTCTCCAGTAGTGCCATCTGAAACCTCTGTGACATGCTAGGGGGCTGTACAAGGGTACTAGCAAGGTACTTTGTGGTCTGTAAATATTGGGTCAATTTAAACACTTTTTTTTTTTTTACAGTACTGAGGTTTGAACTCAGGGCCTACAGTCCTTTTTTGTGATGAGTTTTTTTCACGATAGGGTCTTGCAAACTATTTGCCTGGGCTGGCGTCGAACCTCAATCCTCCTGATGTCTACCTCCTGAGTAGCTATGATTACAGGGCTGAGTCACCCTTCTGGTTTTTGCTGAAACTCTGGGGTTGGCTCCTAGAGTTCAGCAGAAGAGATAGGACCAGATAGGCCTGAATGGTGGAAGCACAGCTTGCAGACTTGACACACTTTTTTTTTTTTTTGTGGCAGCACTCTGGTTTGAACTCAGGGCCTCCCACTTGATAGGCAGGCACTCTACTACTTGAGCCACTCCACCAGCCCCCCACCCTTTTTTTTTTTATAGTGATTTTTTTTTCGAGAGAGAGTCTCAAGAACTATTTGCCTTGGCTGGCTTCGAACCTAATCTCTGCCCCCTAAGTAGCTAGGATTACAGGCATGAGTCACCAGCGCCCGACTGGACACTCTTAAATGGACTTTTGTGGTTGTCAGGAGCTCTGGACGACTGCTGGAGGCCAACAGAGTCCCTAGAGGTGGAGCTCAGGGTGATAAACTGACAATGAGCGGGTGTTTTCCAGTTACTGGCCTCCGATGCCTGTCTAGGGTAAGTGGCTGCCTCCAGGATGAGGCCTCAGCCCCCACTTTTTCCGCTATGGGGTGGGAAGAGCCTTATCCAAACCCTTTCAGGTTTGCCCTTCCTTCCACTGGGGCTCCACTAATCCCTGGAAGCTTCCATCCAAATGCAGGGTTCTTAATACCAGGAATTCTGGGCCCCTGAGACCAGAGGATGACTCTAGGGACGATGTAGAAGGGATAGTTCTGTTAGGAGGCAAGTAGCCAGGTTCAAATCTCAGCTCTAAAGTGAGGAGGCCATCACCATCCCAAGAATATTAGAGAGGAGTAAGGAGGAACTCAGTTTCCATTTCATGAATTGGAGTGAAAGGCTGGGGTAGGAGTGTGGGGGGAGAAAGGCAGCTGTACAAGACGTGTCAGTTTGCCCCCTTATGCACCACAGCTGGCAAGCAAAGGTGATAGGAACATGCAGCGGGGGCTCCTGCTGTCTCCATTTGCTTGCTTTTTTTTTTTTTTCTTTTGTGCCCTGATACTTCCCCATTGTCCCCATCCTCTCCCATCTTGCCAACCCCCTCAATATGACTCTGACCCAAGGTCTCACTTCCTGGATTCCCCTCCCCTCTCTGTCTTCTTGCCCAGCAGTCTGTCTCCACATTCCCCTAGCATGACTTCCTCCTAGCCCCCTCATGTTCCCCACTCCCTCTGCCTTTTCAGCCACTGCTGTGCTCTTTCCTCTCCCCTACCTGTCTCCCAGGTATGCCGTGGCCTGGTGTGGGCTCCCACCTCCCCAAGCCACACTTCTTCTCCTGCTGCCTGCTTGCTTCGGACTCTGGCAGAAACCCCACCCGCTGACAAGTTCCTCCCGGGGAATTGGCAAGTGATTAGTGGTGATGAGATGTCAGCACAGGGCCCTGAAAATTCCTGAAGAAGCTGTGTGCATTCATGGCCTCCTGCCCAGTGCCACCTGGCTGGATGTAGCTCCTAAAAGAACCTCCCTGGTCTCGTGTGGTCACTGCACCTACTTGGCCATTCCAAGGGCTAAAATCTAGTTCTCTGGCCAGTGCAGAGGCCCAGGAACCTAACTCTCCAGGCCTGGCACAGAGCTTCCATCCAGGCCTGAGGACCCAGCATTCACTGTCCACATGTTTGCGTGGTGCCTTCACTGGAGCCTGGCTCCTTGTTATCTATCCACCACAGTCACACCTGCTATTGTTCCCACAAGTACCAAAAGGAGAATAAGGAGGCTGCACCAGCTGGGTGAACGGGTGGTTCCCCCTGACTCTGCTTGTTTTAGGGAGGAAGGAGGGAGTGGAGTGTTCCTGACACCCTCTTTCTGTGCACACCAACCACATGGGCAGTGTTCCAAATCAGGAACCATCCAGAGGGGTGACCCCTACAAGGCCGCTCCTCCCTCTTAAATGGACCCTAGTTAAGCCCCAGGGTCTGGGATGAGGGCAGCAGACACAGGAGCCAAGGAAGCTCTCTGGGTTTAAGAGAGCTGGGTTTAAGGTGGCAGGGGCAGGAAGGGAAGACAAGGGTAGGGTTGGCGCATCGGTTACTCCTCCTGCTTAACCAGCCTTGGGTCCTCCTCAGGTCTTGGACGTGCCAGCGCTCCTGGCCGTGGCCCGCTAACCAGCCTCTCCCTGGCCGGCTCCCGCCGCGCCTCTCGCTTGCTCCCTCCTCCTCCTGCTCCTCTCCCCCCTGCTCCCAGGACGGTGTGATGGCTGCGCAGGGGACGCCACGTTTCCTCCTGACTTTCGACTTCGATGAGACCATTGTGGACGAAAACAGCGACGATTCGATCGTGCGCGCCGCGCCCGGCCAGAGGCTGCCCGAGAGCCTGCGTGCCACCTACCGCGAGGGCTACTACAACGAGTACATGCAGCGCGTCTTCAAGTACCTGGGTGAGCAGGGCGTGCGGCCCCGGGACCTGCGCGCCGTCTACGAGGCTATCCCCCTGTCGCCGGGCATGGGCGATCTGCTGCAGTTTGTGGCCAAGCAGGGCTCCTGCTTCGAGGTTATTCTCATTTCGGATGCCAACACCTTCGGCGTGGAGAGCGTCCTGCGCGCCGCCGGCCACCACGGTCTGTTCCGTCGCATCCTCAGCAACCCGTCGGGGCCCGATGCGAGGGGACTGCTGACGCTGCGGCCGTTCCACACGCACAGCTGCGCGCGCTGCCCGGCCAACATGTGCAAGCACAAGGTACTCAGTGACTACCTGCGAGAGCGGGCCCGCGACGGTGTGCACTTCGAGCGCCTCTTCTATGTGGGCGACGGCGCCAACGACTTCTGTCCCATGGGGCTGCTGGCGGGCGGCGACGTGGCCTTCCCGCGCCGAGGGTATCCCATGCACCGTCTCATCCAGGAGGCGCAGAAGGCTGAGCCCAGCTCGTTCCGCGCCACTGTGGTGCCCTGGGAAACGGCCGCGGATGTGCGCCTCCATCTGCAACAGGTGCTGAAGTCGTGCTGAGGACCGCCGCCTGCAGGGGGCGCCCGGGGCGAACGGGCGGAGAAGGGGGCATGGGGGGGGGATGGGAAAGACAAACCTAGTTTTACTACTCCCTATACCCTTTCGCTTTGCTATGTCCCTCCGGAGATTTCTGGAATTTCGTTCATTTGGGGCTGGGAGCAGGTTCCGAGCCGTCCCCTATCTATGCCTATCTATGCAGTTGACCCGGCTCGGATACCTCCCCATTTCCACTACAGTCAATTCTGGAGTCTGGCCCAACCGGGAGTGGCGCGCATACCTTGGAAAGCAGCAGTGTTTAAAATACCCTGTCCTCAGAATGGAGAGGAAGAGGTTCCCGGCAGATAAGAGAAGGAACATCTTCTACTGCTCTAACTGCTGCCTTGGGCTGTGTAACCTCCCCTCTCCTAGTCTTCTCTCGAAGGATCCCCAAATTTGCTTGACCGCACCCGACTCCCCGTGGAGACAGATGACGTTCTCCGCTTATAGACCCAGGTCTCCTCGAGCTTGCTTCAGCCACGGGAACTCCACCCTATTGCTGTGCTTGCTACACCTTAACTCCTTGCTCCACTCCAACCCACCAGCATCCCCAAGGGGGAAAAAAGCCAGGGAACAGTCGCGTCCTGGTGGTGGAACGAGATAACACACTGACCGCCCTCGGAATAAGACCAACCAGGGACCTCCAAGGTGTGTAATGATGTATCCTGACACCCCAGCCTCGTCTATGCAGCAAGAGACCAGGGACTTCACCAAAGTCGTCCTCTGTGTCCTCCTCCTCCCATATGGAACAGAAAGCCATGATGTTTTTAAGCAGAGCCAGGGAAACCCATGCCCCTCCTCCCTCTGGTGGTTTAGACCTATAAAGGAGGTGAAGAGGGACAAAGTGACTGAGCTCTCTTGCGCCATAGTCTGAGGGATGAGTGAGGTCTTTGCTCTCAGAGCCCCATTTAAGTGGGGGAGGTCGCCCCCACAACTTGAGGTTCCAAGACTAAACACAAGCAAGGGCTAGAGTAAGGTACAGTCAATGACTGCCTGGGACATCTGGAGTCAAGTGAATGGAAGGCTAATGAAGGCTGGGGAGGTGGAGAGAACCTGCCGCTGGTAGCATGAGGCTTAGAACGGGGAGCCTTGCCGTCCTCCCTCCCTCTCTGGCCCTCTAATCCTGCAGGGCAGTCATTGGGAGGTCATCTGGGTTTTATTCAAAGTTGGCACTTGCAGCTAGGGACCCTGCCCTACATGGAGTGGGGTCATCTGTGGACAAGGTCACCAAATTCTTTGGTCTCCAGTTCTTTCCCATCTGCAGCAGGCCTTTGGGTACCTCCTCTCTCAACCTGAGAAAGGGACAAGACAGCTCACAGCCCAAGAGGTGGACAGGCCTACTCCAGCCTTGACTGTGGAGCTGACTTTGGTCTGAGGCTCAAGAGGCCCTCTGGGCAGTGCCTGGGTCCACGCAGGGAAAGCCCTGGGCTGTCAGCAACTGGGCTCCACATAGTTTCCCGGGAAGAATCCAGACCCTTCTGAGCTGACTCCTTCGCACCAGCCGTCAGAGTAGCGGCGGGTGACGCAGATGATGGTGCCCTCAGAGAAGGAGAGCTCGTTGTCCTTCTGGCGAGTGTATGGGTACAGTGTCACCACTGCAGGGTGGGAGGAGAGGGTGCCCATGAGGTGTGCCTCCTTCTCTCACCCCCCGCCCGGGATGCAGGGACCCAAATACTGGACTCTGGGAGTCCAATGCGGGAGAAGGCTGAAGGGGGGGAGCTTTTTCCAAGCCTTAGGGACCTTCTCCAGCTTGATTCGGAAAATGAGGGGCTGGGGGAATCGGGGAGAGAATGCCTCTGGGGTAGAGAATGGAAGTCAGGACAACAGGGCAGAAACCCTGGCAGTGGAGGTACCTTTCTCCAGGTACGCAGCAGGGGCCCAGCTGGGCTCGTCGGGTCCAAACCCTGGCGGGGGTGGGGGCAGCAGCTCCAGTTCATCTGCCTCCAGGGCCGGAGGAGGGGGCAGGTCCAGAGGAGGGGGCAGGTCCAGGGGCGGGGCCAGTTCTGCAGCTGTAAGGAAAACAGGCTGCATGTGTGGCGGAGGCTACTAGCCTCAGGACGCTGCGCTGCTTTGAGAGCAGGTCTCACGATCTAGCCATTTCATGTGACCCTCCTCCAGCGTCCACCCATCCTCAGGGTTAGGGTTAAGTGAGAAGCTTCCAGCACAGGGCCTGGTGTAACGTGGGCGCCAGGTTCTCTTAATTCACTCGCTCCGCCTCCTTTCCCACCAGTTCCGCGCACCTTGGACTGCGCGCTCCCCCGAAGCAGGCGGGGCTAGAGCCACGCCAGTGGGGGAGGGGGCTGGGGGGACGGGGGGGCATCTGCCACGGGGAGCCTAGGAGGAGCACTTTACCCGGAGGAGGCGGGGACAGCTCCTCCAGCGGGGGAGGCGGCAGGAAGACCTCGGCGGCGGCAGCGGGCGGGAGAGGCGGGGCTGGGGGTGCTGCCTGCCCTTCTGGCTGGGGGGCTCCTCCAACACCTTCGGCGCTGCTGAAGACCAAAGCAAGCGGAATTGGGGGACATCCTCTATATTAGTCTCCCCAAATAGCACCGCCCTTCCAATCCGAAACTCTGTCCCTTAACTACCCCCAATGATCCCAAGTCTTCCCAATCCCAGTGGTCACCATAAAGGCTGGCAGGAGACCCCTCTTAAAATCCACCGCCCACCCATCCACTTGGCCTTGTAAGGCTCACCCGGCCGAGGCCAGAGAAGAGGCGGATGAGGCTGCCGAGAGTTTGCCATCAGGCACCACCGGGAGCTGCACAGGTTCGGGGATCCGAGGTGGTCTCCTGGGGAGTGTGTGGAAGAGAATAGCATGAGGAAGAGGATGGCTTCTGGCAGACCAGGCACGGGGATAAGGAGGAGGGGGGAGCAGGCAGAGGAGGAAGTTTGGCGCCGGGCGTCCAGCATGGCTTCAGGAGCAACCAGGCAGCAAGTGCTGTGGGGGAGGGAGGGAGCAGTTTCAGGATCGTGTGGGGCGGATTAGGTGAGCACGAGATCTCACCCCAGTGTGGTGGAGGTGGGTGTGGCAGGCGCCTTGATGCTCTTTCGAGACAGGGTCCCGGTTCGTGACAGCTGCGTGCTCAGGTCCTAGAGGGATGGTGGTAGGGTTGACATCGAGGGTAGGGGGCAATCCCCACCCTCATCCCAGAGAGGAAATGGAGAAGGGGTGGACGAGAACTGGAGTGAGGGCAAGGGCACAGTAAGTTCCCATTTCTACTTTCCAGACCCCCTTCCTCTCTACCCTTGTCTCACCAGCCCGTGTCATTCATCATCACCAGGACAGTGGGGCCTCAAGTCTGCAGCAGGCCAACCCACAAATTGAAAGAAACTCGAGCACAGACGTGTCTGAGGGCCACTTCCTCTGCCACAGAAACTGAGTGGGCCCCTCGGCCTCACCCCTCCCCCAAGCCTCAGACCTGGGGGCTGGGACGCTTGGTGGTCCCTAACTTTGATCAGACCTCAACTGTAGTGTGAACTGAGGAGGTGGGTAGGGAGAGAAGATCTATCACTCTCAGAAGTCCACCTGTCATTTTTATAGACCTCTGGGAACTCATTTGCCCCAGTTAAGGGCAGAGAGGGGCAGGACCCAGGACACTTAAAGAGGGGAGTATACAAATGATAGGGGATGTCCCCAAGTAGAAGAGAGCACCCCTGTAACAGATGAGTTTCCCCCAAGAGTGGGCACATAGGGAGTGGTGTTCTACTTCACTGGAGACAAAACAAAGAGGACTTCTTGAACTAGAGCATAAAGAGTAAATGGGGGGGGGCATGTAGCAAAGCTGTAGACCCTGAGTTTAGTGTATGCAAGGCCCTGGGTTCCATCCACAAGTCCACCACAAACGTGTTGGACAACAGGAAGAGGTAACTGAGGGAGGCAGTGGTGGGACTGGTATTTTAAGATATCAAGGGGGGAGGGTCATTTAGGCACAGGACAGCTTTTCGACTAATCTGTGATATCCAAGCGTTGAGAAGGGAGTTGACAAAATGGGTTGGAGAGTACCTGCCTCCAAGGAGACAAGCTGAAAAGAAAGTGCCAGAGTCATGCTCTCCTCTCTCCGATGTCACTCCACAATGCGTCTGCATCCTGCCTCTGCCCACCAGCAGCAGCCCTGGGGTGACTGCTCAGTGCGCTGACCTCAAACCCCCAGACAGAGGAAGTTGCTGTTCTCAAATGGCTGGGAGCCATATTCTCATGCACGCCCTGACATCTTCCCTTTCCCCTCTTCCCCTCCACACCCAGCACCCACTGGTGGGGAGGAGGGTGGGGTGCTTAGAATCTCACTTAGCAGATCATCAGGAGTACAGGGTAAAGGGCGCCATGGAAGGGTTAGGAACTCTGGGAAGGAGGAGGGGCTCAGGTCGGTGGCAGGGTAGGAGAAGAACATGGAAGAGAACTGATGAGAGAGCCCTGGAGGGAACAGAGCCTGGAGGCAGGAGAGAGGGGGTAGTGGGGAAGAGGAGCACCCCCTACCTTGATCCCATGGCCGATGTCATCCAGGCAGCCAAAGTTGAGGGGTCTTCTGTAGTATGGTGTGAGGGAGGGTAGGCTCTCAGGAGCAATGACCTTCTGTCCAGGGGGCAGCCGCTGGACAGTGGCTAAGGTGCCAATCTCCTTTCTGGCCACCTTCTCCATATGCATGTTCACCATCTGCATGACAAGATTTGAGGGGACAGTGGGGGCAGTCTGTGTCCAATGCAGAGAACGAAGACTTTGGTGGTGAGGATGGAACCATGGGAGGCAGTGAGTTTCAGAGAAAGAGTGACTTTTGTCCCCTTGGCCACACAGCCATTGGGAAAGAGAAGCAGGGAGGATAGAACCACTTTGGAGCAACTTCCTGGTGGCAAAGAACAAGGGTTATTATTAGCTGAGCAGGATCCGGAGGAAAAGAGAAAACACAAGGTCTCTCGGGATGCTGGGAAGCCACTGAAGGGCCAGACAGGCTCAGTGGCAGAGGGGGATAACATGGAGGTGGCAGAGAATCATGGCTGGATCAGCTCTCCCCTTTGGGGGACAAATAAGTGAATGAACTTCCTCTTGGAATGTCCAGTGGAGAAGCCTACAGTGCTCAGAGGGTGGAACTCCAGTCTCCGGGGTGACAGGAAAAGACACACCCCATGCACTGACCACGTGGGTGATGCACAGCCAGACCGAATGGGTAACATGACCTGTGTGTGCTTCATGGGGCAATTCCTCAGTCAGATCCAGGAAGGAAGACGGAGGGTGTGTATGCTAGCAGGGCGGGGGCTGTGCATGGTGGTGGTGGGGCCTCCACGGCTGAAGATGGCCTTGCCAAGCAAGCACCCTGGGTGAAGGACATTTGTTAAGTCATTGCCTGTATTTCCATTCAAACAGGATCTCTTTGTTTTTCTCCTGTACTATGTAGGCGCCATGATTGGCTAACACGACTTTCAGATGTCCAGGATAGTATTCAGAGAAAGAAAAAGCACTGCTTGCAAGAACTCTCAGCATGATGGGGTAGCAAGACCCCACACACACTGAGACAAAGTGCCCAGAGACAGGGAGTCCCCAAAAGCTCAGGAGGGGCCAATGTTCTGCCCTGGATGAACAGATGAATATGGTGAAAGACAACAAGGGACTTCTGCAGAAAATATCTGGATGGGATCAAAGAGTTGGGGGCTGCTACAGGATGCCTCCCTGTCCCCTTACCTGGCCCAGTGTGCTTACACGGGCTTCCACCTGCCGCAGGGCGGCCCCCTGCAGGTCCAGCATGTGCAGAGTATGCCCGCCAGGTTGCCCACTTGGTAGGCCACGCTGGCCAGTGCCTGGGTGGTGAAGGCCATGGTCTCCTCCAGTGCCTTCCGCTTGTCTGCGGCCTGAAATACACACAGCTTTGGTCTGAAGCTAGTACATTCCACTGGGTCCTTGGCTGTAGAAGTAGAGGGAATTGCAGGGTGGAGTGGGAGGGGATCTAGGGGGAAGGTGCCAATCCTTGTGTGTGACAGTGACCTCCAGAAGAGTGATGTTGTAGCAAGAGGGGTTCAGAGGACATTAGGAAAGCAAGGTGCAGCCTTGGGCTATTGGTGCAGTGGTATCCCTCTTCTAATAGTCAAGCTAGAGCATTCCTGAGGACTTCAGCAATATGCCCCTTTGGCGTTTGGGGGATAAATAGTAGAAAGGAAAAAAGAAGGTAATACTGACTGAAGGAGAGATTCTTGAATCTAAAACCAAACCAGGCCTGCACCCCAGAGTCAAATTGGAGTCGCCTAGGACTGAGGCCAGGAATCTGCCTTAATGGTTCTCCAGGTGACACTGTGCTGCTTGTTCAGCCCCAGTGACTGCAGTTTGGCATTAAGAAACTCAGATAAGAAAACCAAGGCTGAGAATGGAGTGACTTCATTCACTCATTCCCTCGAATAGCGTCTCAATATGCTGAGAATACAATCCAAACTTCTGACCACCCTCAGACAGGCCCTACCATTCTCTTCACCCTCATCCCCTACCTATGCCCCTCTTCCGTGCTCCTCTGCAGTCACATTGGCCACTGGAGTTCTGTTTCTGAACAAGCTAGATTGTTTCTACCTCTGGACCTTTGCTCTTGTGGTACTTCTTAGAATCCTTTTCATGAGTAGATTTCAGCTTCTCAGAAACACCTTCCTTCACCAACCTAAGTTTTTCCTCAACCCACCTTTCCAGTGACTTGCTATCATAGTCACCATGTGCTCTTTTTCTTTGTGGCCTATCAAACACTTACTTCTTTATTGTTAATTCTTCCCCACCTCCAAAAATAAATGTAAGTGCCGTGAGAGTAGGGAGTGTGTCTGTTTTATCCTGCATCCTATCCTGGAACAGTGCCTGACACACCGAGTATACTTAATAAATCTGCATTTGTGGATTTATCGAATGGGAACCCACATACTTGCTGGGCACCTTCCTACTGCATGCCAGACACTGGCCAGGGTCACACTGCTAGTCAGTAGAGGAGAGTAGGCAGGGAGCAGATGAAGACTAAAGAGGACTTTTGTCAGCTGCTGATCAGAACATGAGGACTGGGGCAAGACTTCTCTGGTCCTTTTGTTCCCCAGGCAGCTTCCTCCTCCCAAGGGAGGTCATGAGCCTGCTGCACTGTAGGCTGTACCTTTTTTTGGGGGGGCGGGGCAAGGCCAGTGCACTTGATAGGCAAGGCTGCACCCTGGGACCTTTTGTTTGGGTCCTGGTGCCTCTCAGGACCTGTCAGTGGAGAGTAGGTCTAGAAACTCAGAACTGCATCCCGAGAGAGACCTGGAGGTCTCTGATGTAGCCTGAGCCAGAACCTTCTGGGAGGCCCACACTTGGTCCTCCCTTCTCTGCCTTTCTGTTCCAACAGCAGGAAAGTGATGTTCATTTGCATGCTGATTTACATCTCATCTGCATGTGTAACTAAATTTGCATCTCATCAGCGTATGTCACCAAAAGCCTTGAATAGGCAAAAAAATTTGAATATATGTATCTCAACTCAGGAGGTTAAAGCAGAAAGGACAGTAGGTCTTGTTCTAGTTCAAGATCTTTCTTTAGTAAGAGAGGAAACAGGCCTCTCTTCTGGACAATTCGCTCCCCAGTGTGGCATGTGGAATTGTCAGGAAAAGTGTCTGCTTGGGCTCATCTCTGGGTGCCTCACCTTCTGAACCCTGGCTTTGGTCTTGGCCCAAAGTCATATGGAGGAACAAGGGTCTGGGATCCTTCATTGCTACGGACTTCTTGTTCTTCATGCAAATACTCTGTCTGCAAACTTGACCAAGCCTGACTGAGAACTCAGCAGCTGACCCCATTTGCCTCCTGTGCTTCCTGACACAGGCTGGGGCAGGGAGAGGAGGTGGGAACCAGGCCTTATGTAAGAACAGTTCTGAGACAAAACCCTCAGAGAGACCAGGACAGGTTGTGTGGTCTGGCTGTTAGTATTCTGTATGAAAGAAGCTGGAGTCCAGAGATTCTGACCTGGATAGGCTCAGTTTTGTCACCCTTGTGTACCTCTCATCCTTCTGATGAATGACAACAATGGCTGCCAGTAATGATAATAGCTGCCTTCTTAAGGGACAGGTGTTGGGCTAAATGCTTGAATACATCATTCCATTTAATTCTTGTCCATTTAACTTCCTATCCAAGGAGAACCTTGCTTGCCACAGTCTTGTAGCTGGTAGGTAGCAGAGCTGGAAGTTGACTCAGGGCTTTTTTTTTTTTTTTTTTTTTTGGTGGCTCTAGGTCTTGAACTCATGCTTGCTATGCAGGTGCTCTACTGCTTGAGCCACCCCACCAGCCCTTTTTAGTGATGGGTTTTTTTTAGATAGGGTCTTGAGAACTATTTGCCCAGGCTGGCTTCGAACTGTGATCCTCCTGCCTCTTGAGTAGCTAGGATTATAGGTGTGAGTCACTAGTGCCCAGCTGGACTCAGGTCTTTGTGACCTCAAATCCTGTGTGCACAGTGCATGTGCAAATGAGAAAGGATCCATCCAGAAGCACTTTGAGATGTGCAGAAGTTATAGAAAGAATGGAAGGGACTTCTTTTATCCTTGTCAATGGGAGCAGGCCTCTCAGGAGAATGGAACTGATTTGCAAACCACGTGTTAGCTCATCTCCAGGCTGGCCACTTGGCATCTGTACAGACCCAAATTATACCCAGGCTAGCATTTCCAGCTACGGGTTTAGGGAGTGGGCTCTGGAGTCAGAGTTCTGGATTTGAATCCCAGCTCTGCCACTAGCTTGGAGACCTCCGGGAAGATCACTCCCTCTTTCCAAACAACAGCTTCGAGTTGTGAAGTAGAATGATACTCACCTCACATGGGATTGGGATGGAGATAAAGTCCACAAGCGTACAGAGTACTTTGTTATCATCATTGACTCTCTGCTCTGCCATTTCCCACAGGCACTTGTTCCTTTTTATCCCCTAATCTTACTTTGCTAAAAGGTCCCAGTGCCAATTCTCACAGTTTTGTTAGTACCTATTAGAAGAATGAAGTTTTAGGAGCTGGATGTGGCGGTATATGGCTGTAATCCCAGCTACTTGAGAGACAGACACAGGAGAATCACAACCTTGAAGCCAGCCTGGACAAAGTTAGCAAGACTCTATCTCAAATAAATACGTAAATAAAAATAAGAATAAAAACAATGCTGGGGGCATAGCTTAAGTGGTAGAGTGCTTGCCCGGTAAGTGTGAGGCCCTGGTTCGATCCCTAGTACTGTAAAAAACCAAACCAAAGCAAAACATTTTGCCCAGGAGGTAACAGGTTTAGTTTCTCTCTCTCTCTCTCTCTCTCTCTCTCTCTCTCTCTCTCTCTGCCCAGTTTGAAACCCTCCATCCTCCTGCCTCTGTCTTCCAAATGCTGGGATTACAGATATACAGCACCATGCCCAGAAATAGCCTGTCATTCTTAGTGGCAAAAAAGTGAGTATAAAGTGTCTTTAAGTCACATGACCTGTCAGGGAGGCAGAAGGACGGAGAGGGAGGCTAGGGCTGATGCTTGGTTCTGCCATTTCAGAGCGGGATGACCTTGGACAAATCACTTTACCTCCTGAGCTTCTGTCTTCATATCCATAAAACAGGAAATACTAAACTTGTCTCACAAGGTAATTGTGAGATTAATGAAAGAACAGGAGTGTAGGGTCATTCAGTGCCCTACCTGTCTTTGCTTGATCCAGGAATCTATGTTCTCAGTCCAGGAACAACCACACAATTTAAACACTCTTCTACAATGCCACCCTCCTCATCTTTTACCAGCCCCCTGTCCGACCAGGGGAGCTGTAAATCTACTGCCTCTTCGCCAGATCCTTCTCTTTAGCCCAGCCTGCTTTGACTTCTCTCTGCTCTCCCTCAAATATCAATAAACCAACTCCTTTCCATTGCAGGTCCCAAATTCACTACAATACTTCAGGGTTCTTCTGAAGTCTCCCAGAGCCAGCTTGAAAATGGAGTAATGCGCCTACACTTTGGTGAAGGCAGGCCCTTTGGGTCTGTGAAGCGTGGACTCTGTGAGAGCTGAGCCTGGGGTGAGGATGAGATCAGGATGGATAGAGGGTACTGCCTGGCCAGTATTACTGAAGCTTTGATGGAGAAGGGGCTCTGCCGGCAATAGGGTAACAGGGGATCAGGGCTAAATTTGGGGGACTGGGATGAAGCCAAGCCTGGACTGGGAGAATTTCTCAGCCAAGTCCCAGAATAAGCACCTGTCACATGGCTCCCACGGCCCTGCTTGGGATTGGGCTGTACAGACCCCAAGAGCCAGGGTGTCCCTCCTGGTGCCTGCTCCACCTACCTGCACATAGTTGTTCTCGCAGTAGTCAGCCACACGCAGCAGGGCGCTGTGGTTGCCCCGCAGAGCCTCCCTGCCGGTAGGGATCTCAAACTCCTGTAGCTGCTGCAGCTCCGCCATGGCCCCCAGCCTCACCGGGCTCCCCTGGGAGCCCGCTGGTTTTGAGCCTCACCCCGCCCTTGATTGGTTGCTCTGCCTTCCCTCCCTCTTACTGCTTTTGGTTTCCTCTTCTCGAGAGACCCAAACCTGCTTGCAAAGGGCAGGCATGCTCATTCCGGGATAAGAGGAAGTCAGTCCCTGCTCCCTGGGCCTGCGCTTCTCTGTCCCGTGGCCAGAGGAAGGGGGAAGCCAGGGGCCTGTTTGGGGGCCCAGCCCCCTAGGTCCCACCCTGCAGAGGAAGCCAAGGTCTGGGCGGCTGTGATTGCTCCCTGATCCTGGAAAGGAAACTGGTTGGTGGGGGGGATGGGGTGGGAGACTGAGGAGGAAGGGGCTGGCCTGTTATGGTGGGGGGTGTATTTTCCACTCATGGAAGAGGGGAGGAAAGGGCAGAGGGTGGGGGCTTCCTTGGGAAGCTTGGGGATGAGTCACAGAGAGATGGAGGAGTGGAGAGTGGATAGGCTATGGAGATCAGTGGTACAGAGGGGACTGGAGGCTGGCATTACAACAACAATGAAAAGCAGCCCCTACAGCAGCAAAAGAAATCAGAGTTAGACAGCCAGAGAAGTACTATCTGTGACAGATCAAGCACGCACGATGAAGGTCGGCTGCGTGTACTCCCTGCCAGCTGGAGGCAGGACAAAGCGAAATTGACCAATTTAATGTAAGGAACTCAGATTAGACAACAGGAAGGGCTTGAAGTTGAGACAATACCAGGGTCAAATTCCAGATTAACTGGCCGGTTTTAGGCCACGGTAGTGGACAGAACACTGAGGCCAGCTCAGGAGGCCTGGGCTGCAGTTAACACAGTAGCAGGAGGGGGCTTCGGGGATCCTGTCCTGATCTCAAATCTTTAGAGCTCACAGCTGCAAGTGGGACTTGATCCTGAAGTAAGGGATGGATTATGGGTCTCTCCTGCCCCTCTCACAGCCCAGTCTGTCATCCTACAGGTAGAGAATAAGAGGGGCCCTCACTGGCCATGTTAGACCCTTAGTGCCTGCTCCTTGAGAGGATCTCTTGTGATTGAACAGGTGTCAGCTGGAGCAGGAGCTCAGGTATTGCAAAATTGTACAGTCCTTGGGTGCTTCTGGCAAGAGCAAGAGAAAGACCAGGATGCGTAGCCTGTACTGGGGACTATAGATAAAGGAGACCCACACTCCAGGCTCAGAGGAAGCCTTAGAGGCTAAGAAGCAAGTATGTAGGCATTAGGGTGGACATGGCGCCCAGTTCTAATTGGCACAGCATAAGTGAGGGTACATTTTTGTGGAATGAGTAAGGAGCCCCTTGTAAGGTGAAATTGTTGGGATGCGATGGGGAGACACAAAGGCTTCAGGCTGAGGACATGAGGAGCTGATCTGGGACTTGTCCCCTGGGAAAGAACAGCCTGGGGGCAGGCTCAGAGGTGGGGGAAAGTCAGGCAAGGGAAGTGTAGGGACTAGAAGAGAAATAGAAATCTGGGGGGGAGGGTCACTAAAGGAGGGGATAGGGTGTGGGAAGGTGACCTGATTCCTGCTTTTTGCTTATGGGTGGAATGTCAGCATCTCTGTGCTGGTGGCAGCGAGAGCTTGGAGGCTCAGGCAGTCACTGGGCTTAGAACTGTGAGCCTGTGATCAGCTTAGCTCAGAGATTTGGGTTTCCAGCCCATCTGCTTCATCTGAAGATTTTCGGTTGATGAGGAGCCAGGAGGCTCAAACACCGTCTTTTCTGGGTCCTGTACAAGTGACTTGGAGTGCATGCTCCTCCCTGGTAGGTGAGAGGGCTGAGGGTGCCCCGGGTGGGGACCTAGTCTTAGTATTACTTAGGTTAGGCCTTAGGCAGACCTTCCTGATAAACCTGCAGGGATCACAATAGCAATATTATTCTCAGCAATAATAAGAAATGTGTTGTATTCATCATGTGTAAGGCAATTCTGTTTTTAAAAAAATAGCTCATATGCATTACTTTCTTAGTTCTCACAGCAATGAGGGGAGATAGATACTATTGTTATACCCACGTTGCAGATGGGGAAACTAAGACAAGGAGGGTAAGTGCCTTGCCTAAGCCTACATAGCAAGGAAGCAGCAGAGGTAGAGTCTGGCCAGTGGCAGAGCCCCTGCTCTTAACACTTGGCTGTATTCTCTCCAGGCAGGCAACAAAGAAAATGTCTACCTGAGTCATTATGCAGAATAATTCCCAAAATTGTCCTCAATGAAAGAAACTCCTTTTTTCCTTCCTTCCCTGTTTCTTCCTGAGAAAGGCCCTTATCCAAGGGCAAAGATTGTGCTTGCCCTGTTCAGACACTGGGAGCTTCTCCTGAGCCTACACTTGTGATGGGGCAGGGGATGGAGGGATGGAGTGAAGATATATTGAACGAAGGGGGGCCTGAACTGAGGGACGTGCAGGGAAACAGACAGAAGTTGAGGTGTGGAGGGAACAGGAAGAACTGATGGCTGCTGAATCCTTCGGGGCCCAGGTCTCTCCAGAGCAGGATGGCCCAGGATCTTAGTGAGAAGGAGCTACTGAGGATGGAGGTGGAACAGCTGAAGAAGGAAGTGAAGAACCCGCGAGCTCCGGTGAGCAGTGCTTTCCTTCCCTCCTCTCTTCTTCTCCATCCCTTCTGTCCTGGAAAGAGGAAGCAATGGAAAGGGGAGGAGGATTAGGCCTTTCCAGGGCTGCAAAGGAGCAAAAGTGACTCTGGGCTGGGGTGGAATGTAGAGGGAAGGTGGGGTTCCCTCTGCTTCTCTGGACACAGGAAAGAACCTTGGAGCCATGAGGAGTTCAATGTGTCCAGCTCTGTCTCCAGGCTGGGTTGGTCAAGCATTCCACAAAGGTTGGAGTCAGTGTTTGAGGGTCAGGTCAAAGACCTCTGCCCTCTTGACTGCCTGTCCCCTTTATCTCCCTTCTCTTTGACCTCCATCCTCACCCTGCCCAGAAGTCCATTTTCCTGGGACTGGTCAAGTCACAGATCCTGAGTAAAAACAAGGGCCTTGAGCAGATTTTGTGTTGTTGCAGATTTCCAAAACAGGAAAAGAAATCAAGGATTATGTGGAGGCACAAGCAGGGGCAGACCCTCTTCTCAAAGGCATCCCTGAGGACAAGAATCCGTTTAAGGAGAAAGGCACCTGTGTCATAAGCTGAGGGCCTGGCGTCAGGAGCCCTGAGCCAAAGTGTCCTGGGACACCTGGGAAGCAGTGAATACTCCCCTCCTCTTACAGCAGAAAGAGTAAAGATATGGAATGAAAGCCTTGTGAGTCTGTTCCCAGTCTTATGTTCCACTCTTTCCCTCCAGTTGGCTTCTCCACCTGCTGGGTCATGGCTAACCCCACCTAGGAACACCCCCAAGGGGCGCTTTGCTGCCTGAGCAGGTGGCACATGGGTGGCAGGGCAGGCAGAGCCTGTAATACTTGAAGCCCTAGAGGGCAGTGCTCGGAAGCATTCACTCCTCCTAGAACCTGTCTCCATTCTTCCCCAACCTCCTCTTCCCAGGTAAAAAGCATTGGGTTGGGGACTGGTATTGGAGGGCAGGTCCTTTCTCCCATCCCATGTCCTGTCCTGAGATCTCCTTCCTAGTCATCTAGATCACTCCAGATGGCCTGATGACAAAAAACAATTTGCAAAGTCAGGATTTCAGGATTGATTTAACATTGCTGAGTGTCCATTATGTACAAGGAAGAGAAGAGTCCCAAGACTAACATGGCTCCTATTTTCATGGAATTTGGCAGAGGAGACATGAAACAATTCACAACTAAGTCAATAAACACTACAACAGGGAGAGTCAAGGGCATTGTAGGAGCACATAGCAGACATTCTGGGCAATGAGCAAAGTCAAGGTGAATCCTAATAGAGGGGCATACAATGGGAAGGGGTAAAACATGAAACAGGAGAGGAAGATCTGGGTCATCTTTTTTTCTTTTTGGTGGTATTGGGGTTTGAATGCAGAATTTTGTGCTTGCAAAACTGGTACTCTACCATTTGAGCCACACCTCCAGTCCATTTTGCTGTGGTTATTTTGGAGAAGGGGTCTCATGAACTATTTTCCTACTTGGCCTCAAGTCTCAATCCTCCTGATCTCAGCCTCCCAAGTGGCTAGGATTAGAGCCACGAACCACTGGCATTCAGCTTTGGGCCAAGTCTTGAAAGACCTTTCTGTAAGCTCAGTTAAGAACTTCCTTCATCCTAAGGACAACCAGAAGCAGAGGAAGGTATTCAAGTAACAAAAGGACAAGGTTTGTTAGTAGAAGGTTGGCTGGATCCCACTGAGGGCTGGAGATTCAATGGTAGATGAGACATCGAGACCTTGTCAGCCTGGAGTTACTGTCTGAAGAAACCACAAACAGTCATGGTGCAACATGTTCTATGCAATATTGGAGAGGTGTGTGTGTGGGGGGGTGTATGATGAGATCCCCAGAAGAGCTTTCTAATCCAGCTGAATGGAGGATAGGAAAGACCTCCAGAAGGAGGTGATATCTGGGGGAGCTGAGTTCTAAAGGCTTAAGCAATAAACAAAAAGAAAAATGGGAACCCTAATCAGGTTGGAGTTGAAATGTCAAGAGAAAGAGTAGGTCCTTAGGATGGATGTGCCCCTGGAGAGGTGGAGTTGGAGATGTTCAGAGCAGTCTTGCTTGCTGACCTAAGCAGCCTTTTCTGTGGGGAGTGACTTAGTGGTGTTAGAAGGAAATCCATCAACAAGATTGAAAGGGGAAAGAGCGGGGGAGACAGAGAGGCAGTTAAGAAAGTGAATGTTCCATCAGGTGAGAGGTGAGAAGGCCTGAATTAGAAAGCAGTAGCCATGGGGCTAGCAGTGTGGCTCAAGTGGTAGAGTGCCTGCTTAGCAAGTGCAAGGCCCTGAGTTCAAACCACAGTACACACACACACACACATACAAAGTGGTGGCCATAAGTTGGAGGTGGGATGATGGAGGAAGAGGTGGGTTGAAAGAGTTCTTTTGGAAATACAGTTTTCAGATCTTGACACCTCATTGAGGGCATTTTCAAAGATTATTTCCAAGATTTTATTTCAAAGATTAAATCCAAGGGGATTTACTAGATAGAACTGAAAGCAAATCTCTGAAAACCCTAACATAAATCCTGATTCTACCTATATACAGCTACAAACTCAGCCTCTCTTCCCCAGCAGGCCACAGCCCAGAGGTAAACTAAGGATAAGATCAAATGAGGTCATTGGTCAGAATCCAGGATCTCTGATTCCCACGTCACCATTCTGCAACCTGGAATAAATTCACAAATATACTCTGCTCAAGAAAAGGAAAAGAACGTGGAGGAAGAAAACATTTAATACAGTAATTCTTATTTCTAAATATGGGAGATGGTAAATATTCCACATAACTCCATCAGTAAGAAAGGAAAAAAAAGCCAGCCACTGGTAACTCATTCCTGTAATGCCAGCTACTCAGGAGGCAGAGATCAGGAGGATCGCAGTTCAAAGACAACCTGGGCAGACAGTTCATGAGACCCTATTTCAAAAAAAACATTACATAAAAGGGCTGGTGGAGTGACTCAATGTGTAGGCCCTGAGTTCAAGTCCCAGTACCGTTAAAAAAAAGGAAAAATGGGTCAGTCATGTGGCCATAGGCCATGTAGCTGTGCTACCTTCTTCTTGTTTTTTTTCCTTTTTTTGTTTGCCACCTTCTTCTGCCTACCTGGTCTGCCCAGGTTCTCCTGCCTGAGGCAGAAGCTCACTGGTTGGGGTTTTTTTTCTTTCTTTCTTTCTTTTTTTTTTTTTTTTGTGGTACTGGGGTTTAAAGCTGAGAAATTAATATTGGTACAATGCTACTAACTAAACTCCAGACTTAATTTGGATTTCCCCAGCCTTTTCACTGCTGCCATTTTTCTGTTCCAGAACCCGCATCACTTCTAGTGCCTTCCTTTTTTGCTGGGAAGAGCCTTTTAGTTAAAGACAGAATGCTCTAAGATACCATGGCCGTCTAGAGGCATTCCACGTGTCCATAGATGTTAGTGTTAGCAGGGACAGGACAGAGAATGCAAACCCAATTCCTGATCAGTGCCTATTCCACTGAGGACAATTCTCTGTCCCCTCCATTGACCTGCTGCCATAGCAACGTAGGAGGGATTCAGGGTTGTTGCTGTGGCTAGCTTATTGGGCAGTGCTGGCCATGAAGAAGGGAGGACTGCTCTATGGCATTCATGCTGAACTCTGTTTCTACTTCTCTAGCTGCTCAGTTTCATGACAGCTGATCAGCCCTGTGGTCATCTGACTAAGAGTTATGTCAAGCCTCTTCTACAATGGGGCCTCTGGGAAACATTTGTGGCACAAACTCTCCTCCCCACTTTTTTTTTTTTTTTTGTGGTACTGGGGTTTGAACTTGGGGCCCCATGCTTGGTAGGCAGGGGTTCTACTACTTGAGTCATTCTGCCAGCCATTTTTTGTGTCAAGTATTTTCCAGATAGGGTTTCTTGAACTGTTTTCTGGGCTGGCTTCAAACCTCAATCCTGATTTCTGCCTCCTGAGTAGCTAGAAGTATAAGCGTGAGCCACTAGCACCTGGCTCATGGTGCAAATTTTTGTCTCTGGGCTCATCCCCAAAAAGTCCAGGCTGAACAGCTCTCCCAGAAACCCTGTTTTTAGTCCATTATTTTCCAAGTCCTTCACCATCTGGCCAGAAAATTAATGGCATCCCAGGAATCAGAGAGGAGGGAATATATTTTCTCTGCTGACTTTCAGGGCCACATGAAGAACAGCGGTTCCCAGAGAAAGGGAAAGCACTACAAATTCAGTCATGATTAGGAGCTGGACTACTAGGGAGGTAGAATGAGAATGGAGAGGAGGTAAACTGGGGATCTCCTTAGGCAGGAAAATTTCCAGGACCTAGAGACTGAATGCTGAACACAGAGGAAATTACCAAGGATGCTCCATCAGAGTTATCAAGATCCTTACTTGGATGACTAGGTGGATGGTGGGGTCACCAGGTGGGAAGTCCCCCTCCCTGTGATTCTATATGACTCTTCAGGTCATATAGAATCCCCTGCTCCTTGGTGCCACATTGAGAAGTGGTAGCTGGTATTACAAAAGTGGCCAGGAGTGCTCAAGAACACTGTGTAATTGAGAGAAAGTTGCCAAGAATAGGACTTGGAGGTATACCTGCGGCTCAGGCTGGGATGAAGGAAAAAGCACTATGAAGAGGACCAAGTGCAGTGGTCACAGACTCCCAGGATGGAATCTTTAGGACTCAGAAGGACAGGAGGGGACAGTTGACTGGTTAATGTGGCCCTCAGGTCCTGCAGGCAGCAGCTCAAAATATTTCCTAGTGGCTAGGCATCCCACTCCCTTCTACCTCTTGTGCCTTCTGATGTCACCACAAGCCTGAGGAGAGGGTTGGGTTCAAGGCCTTGTCTGGGCACTTTGGTGCTTTGGGCAGAGGGTGATTAACCCACCTCTTGTCCCACCTCTTTAGTTTCCTACCTGAGCTCGAAGCCTGGGACAGGATCATGACATTCCACACACTGGTGTGCAGAGGGGCTCCCACTGGGTTTAATGTTCCCCTGTCACCATCTCAAAATTAATAATTTTTGAATGAAGGCCCACCTATTATGTGGCTGGTCCTGTGTAGAGAGGCAGATGTCCAGCCCGATAGAGGAGAAGGATGGTTATTCAGGGGCAGGGTTCAAATTAGCCCCAAAATGGTACTGCTCCTGCTCCCCCTCCAGCACTTCTGACCGTTACAGCTGAGGTAGGGAGGAGCAGGAGAGCATGTCCCCTCGCTCCTCTGACTTCTTAGTCTCCACCAGACCAGGGAAATGGGATGAGTGGATGACTCATCGCCTGCAGCATCTGGGCCAATGCTGAGGAAACAGAAACCAGGAAGGCCAAAGGAACAAAAAGACTAATAAGAGAGCCCCTCTGAGACTTGTTTTCTGCCTTCCACCCCACCCCAAACTTCTCCCCACCTCTACTTATGCTAATTCCTAATCAGGCTGCTAATTCCCCACATTCTAAACCTCTCACAGCTCAGTTAGCGCCTTACTCCCTCTGCTAGGCCCTTGTTCAGACCCGTCAGCTTTCCCCACCCATGTGTCCACAGCCTCCTGGGAGCTTCCTCCTGCCCAAACCCTCTCCATCTGTTGCCAAGGTGTTCTCTGTGGCTCCCTTGCTTAAAATCCTTCTTAACTCTGCACTCCCTAGGAGACCAAGGCAAGAGCCCTGGGCACCTAAGGCACCAAGGACATCCAAGGTCATGCCTATGGGAGTCCTGCTCATCCTATCCGCAACCCCACGGACATTAACATGGAGCTTCTTTTAATTTCGTGCTGGGCTTGAAATACCCTTCTGTGCTCCATCTCTTCCTTTTTTTTTTTAAAAGACAGTGTCTTGCTATTTGCTATGTAGCCCAGGCTGGGTTCAGCTTCCCAATAGTTGGGATTACAGGCATGTGCTCTCATAACAGGCTCTGTTGTCTTTTCTTCGTCTAGCTATTCTGTATAGTAAGTCACCACTGAATTAAGCTTCACTGTACGCTTCCTCTGGCTTCTGGAGTCCTTGAGACTTTGTGACAGAATAAGAACTGAAAAATTAGGTGGCCCAAATTCAAGAGGGGCAAAAGGGGATGGAGTGAAAAACCCCTTCCTCCTTTTTCTCCCTCTTCATCTCTGGAGAAATCAATGTTTC